ATGCGGGGCCGCGGGGCGCGGTGAGGGCGCGCGCGCGCGCGGCCGCCACCATGTCCATGCTGCCCACGTTCGGCTTCACGCAGGAGCAAGTGGCGTGCGTGTGCGAGGTCCTGCAGCAGGGCGGCAACATCGAGCGCCTGGGCCGCTTCCTCTGGTCTCTGCCCGCCTGCGAGCACCTCCACAAGAATGAGAGCGTGCTCAAGGCCAAAGCCGTGGTGGCCTTCCACCGCGGCAACTTCCGCGAGCTCTACAAGATCCTGGAGGGCCACCAGTTCTCGCCGCACAACCACGCCAAGCTGCAGCAGCTGTGGCTCAAGGCGCACTACATCGAGGCGGAGAAGCTGCGCGGCCGGCCCCTGGGCGCCGTGGGCAAGTACCGCGTGCGCCGCAAGTTCCCGCTGCCGCGCTCCATCTGGGACGGCGAGGAGACCAGCTACTGCTTCAAGGAGAAGAGCCGCAGCGTGCTCCGCGAGTGGTACGCGCACAACCCCTACCCGTCGCCGCGGGAGAAGCGCGAGCTGGCCGAGGCCACCGGCCTCACCACCACGCAGGTCAGCAACTGGTTCAAGAACCGCCGGCAGCGCGACCGAGCGGCCGAGGCCAAGGAAAGGTACGAGTAAGTAGAGCGCCGGCTCCCCTGGTCCAGGGAGGAATGGGGGGGGGCAGGAGGGGGTCTGGATTTAGCTGGACCCGGGGCTGCGTTGAGAACCCCTGTTGTAACCCAGTCTGGGTCAAAACAGCTCTTGGGGCTCGCTGGAGACTTTGCGGCCGGGAATTTGTCTAAAGCGGGCAAAGCAGTGCGTAAGTTCTCAATTAATTCCCTGGTCGCTTGTGGACTAGATTGGAAAAAACAGAGAGGGCAGGGTGTGGGCCTAAATCCCCTGCGAGGCAGGCGTAGCCTCGAGGCCTGACGGTCCTCGCAAGGGGACCAGGGGGATCAGGGGCTTTCTCGGACATCACCTCCAAGTCAAAGCTTTCTTTCTAGGGGTCAGAGCTGGAATTGGGATCTACCTGGCATTATCTGGGCAATATCTGGGCAAGATTATTCCTTGCCTGGACATAAGAGCTGGGAGCAAGGGAGTTGGGAGTTGTCCCGCGTGGAAAGGACCAAGAGATGAAAGGCCTCCCTCGGGGAGGAAGTGTCAGCTGTGGGAAAAGGACACACACACCCCTTTTCTGGCCTGCGGGATCCAGGGAGCCTTTTTTAGGGCTTGCCAGACCCTTGACCTTTCTCTCCTCGGGTCCTGCTCTCTTTGGTGAGGTAAACGGGGATCTTGGAAGGGCTAAGGGTCGTATTTCCTCTCGGAATCCAAGACGTTCAGGACTAACCTAACCCCTGGGGTTCCCGTGACCGCCCGCAAACCCCTCGGACTTGACATCTCGAGGGGGGAAACGGGTTAAGAGGACAGAGTCTCTTCTTGGGGTAACGGCAAGACAAGACACCTGGGTTAGGTGGCGTGGGGTGAGTTTGAATGGCCCCAGCCAGGGTGACAGATGAACAGGCTGCGGACGGGACCTGGGACCTGGGTGTTGGAAACTTTCAAGTTGTGCTACCGGTGGCGGGGAGGTCTCGCTCACTCCGCTCGAGAAATCAGAACAACTGCTCAGAATCCACAGAGGTTTTACCCAAGGTTTCAAATACCCGGGGCAGGAGGTGGCTTCTCTATGCCGGGTTCCCTCCCTTAGGCTGGCGAGGAGGACAGGTAGGGTTCCTGACCAGGCCCCAGGTGGGAGCTGCAGATTGCGCCCCCCTTGTCCTCTTGTTTCCGCTTAAGCCAGAAAGATGGGGGCTCTAACCATCCTGCCCTTCCTTCTAGCTTCCCCCGGGGGCTGCTCTCCACGCCGAGCCGCCAGTCACCTGGCTGAACTTTTCATTCCCAAAGCGAGATCTTTATGCCCCCTCAAGTAGAGCTCACAGAGTCTGCTCAGTGTGGAGTCAGGGGCCTATTCTCGGTGGCCTGTCTGCAACCGGGGAGTTCCCTCCAGCAGAGACAGGCAAAAGGAAACTAGGCCCGCGCTTCCCCGTGCTCAGTGGGCCCCTCAGCCAGCCTGGGCTCGCTGTGCCTGGAGCTTCTATTCCGGACGTCTACCCAGCCCAAGCGGTTTGAAAAGTCCAGGTCCTCCTTGTTTCTCCACCTCCAGGCATCCCGCTTCGGTGCCTCAGCTCCAGGGAAGGAGTGGGGCCGGAGACAGGACAAGACAGAGGGGAGGCCAGCTATGAGATTGAGAGCGTGGGCTTGTGCAGGGAGAAGACACGGGAGCACTAGCGGGTTGACGGGTTGGGAGAATGACAGAAACACCCGCAGCGGCGCTGAGTCCTGAGGCGGGCCCGAGCGCTGGCGTCCGGAGGGGGGGCTCGCGGTGGCCTTGGCTTCGCGCTGACCCCGCTCCTCTGCTCCTGCGCCCGCAGGGAGAACAGCGAGAACTCCAACTCCAGCAGCCACAACCCGCTGGCTTCCTCGCTCAACGGCAGCGGCAAGTCGGTGCTAGGCAGTTCGGAGGACGAGAAGACGCCGTCGGGGACCCCGGACCACACCTCGTCCAGCCCCGCGCTGCTGCTCAGCCCGCCGCCGCCCCCCGGGCTGCCGCCCCTGCACAGCCTGGGCCACCCTCCCGGCCCCAGCGCCGTGCCCGTCCCCGTGCCCGGGGCCGGCGGCGCGGACCCACTGCAGCACCGCCACGGCCTGCAGGACTCCATTCTCAACCCCATGTCTGCCAGCCTCGTGGACCTGGGCTCCTAGAGCCCTGCTCGCCTCCCGGCGCTGGCTTCCGCGCTCGGTGCGGGGACGCGAGAGGCGGTGCGGGAGGGCGGTGGACGCTGGAGTCTGCGCCGGGGCCTGGAGGACCGGCCGCCCTGGCACGCTGGGGCCGCAGTACCGGCGGCGGGACAGAGTGGACAACGGACTGCTCGGGATCCTTGAGGGATTCTTTTTTAACGACTTGCTTCTGAGATCCTTTGGAGGCCAGGGACCGGGTCTTAAACCAGGCAAGGGAATAAATTATAAACAACCACCACCCTATTTTCCTCATCTCTTCTCCCTTCTCTCGCCTTTTTCCTCCCTTCACTTCCCTTTCGGGTCTCTCATTTCTCTTCTTTTCTTTCTCTCTCTCTTTCCCTCCCTCCTTGTTTTTCTCACATTGTACCCTCAGTCTTTCTTCCTTCTGGTCATCTATTTGAGTCCCTTTCTCTACCTTTTTAAGAGTCCACGTGATGTGAAGGGAGGTAGACATTCTGGGCCTTCGCCCCTCAAAGACTCTCCCCCTCTCCGTGTGAGCCTAAGGTGCCAGCTTTTGACTAATAAATGAGCAAGAAATGGCTGCACCCCAGAAGCACTAGAACATTCATTCTCCTCTCTCTTCTCCCTCTCCCTCTCTCTTTCCCTCCCTCCTCTCCTCCCCACTAAGCTGGTTCTCCTTCCTCCTGGGACTGTGGCCTGAGTGCTCCCAGCCCAGAATGCCTCTGCAGCCGCCGACTTGCCTGTTCCTTTTTATGCCCTCATGTGAATGTTCGTCGGGAGATATTTCTGCTTTTATTTTATAATAAAATTAGAAATCATAAATATATGGATATATGCCCGGAGGCCCGCTGGCCTCCCGTGTAACAGCGTCTGATTTCCCTACAGGAAGTGAGCAGGTCTGGGCAGTGATGCTAGAGTAGAGCCCTGGAAACCTGGGCCAGCCTCTTCCGACACAGTGAGCCCCTGGCAAGGTGAAGGGATGGGACTGAAAACTCGCAAACCTCTTTCCCTGGAGACCTTAGTTTCTTTTCCCTACAGAACGTTCTTCAGAAACAGGGACCAGACTTCCAGCGCTCTCTCTCTCTCTCTCTCTCTCACACACACACACACACACACACACACACACACACACACACCACCCGAAGCCACCTCAAGATGCCTGACTTGTCGAAGAAGGTGAGACCTGCGTGCAGAGGTGTTTAATGAGTTTGGAATTGTGGAGTCTGGGAGGAAATTTGGTAAGTTTTCAGGCGGAATTAATGCTCCTCTGTGTGGTCGAAGTCACAAGAACTGGAAATGAAACTCCGGGTAGAATCATGTTACCGGTAGCAGCGGCTGAGACCTGGGTTCCCAGAGCGCAGCCCTGGCTAGCGACGGAGTTCGGCAACCTGAGTCGGGCGGGCGCCGCGGAGTAGACGCAGAGAGGCTGTCTAGCCGGCTAGCAGCGGGCGGGGGCTGCGCTTCCGAGCAGGTGGGCACCTGGCACCCGGGGGTCCTCAGTACGGTGCGCTGCGATCGCCACCCTAGCTGTAAATAAATCTACAATATTGTTTGCGATCCCAAGTTTTAGCCCCCTTTTGTCCAACATGCCCAGGCTGGTCCAGACCGATCCAAACCAGGCAAGACTCAGGCTAAAGTCACGGCTTTTCAGTACTGATTCGCAACGACGAAGAGGGACCGCAAGGGCAGTGGAGGGGAAGAGGCATTTGTTGGACGCTAGGACGTTTTGGGTCTTTTCTTTTCTGATCAAACCAAGACTTTCTGTTTTGACCATAAACTCAGAAAAACTCTTTTTTTTTTATCAAGAACTTTTTTTTATCAAGAATTTCCTCGCCCATGACGCAGGGAGTTGGAGGAACCTACCGGTACCGGAGGTTACACCTTTGTAGCAGCCTGGACTTCAAGGGGAACACAAACCTGAGAAGACTCGTGGAGGCTGGATTCCTCCACCCAGGCCCACACCCAGGGCCCCTCCCACTTCTCCAAAGAGAAATCCCAAGGACAGGGGCTTCCTTGGATCCTAAAATGTCTCAAGCTCTCCCTGGAACTGGTTTGCTCTGGTCTGGCCTGATTTCTTCAGACTTGAGGCGTGCAGCCTTAGCAGCTTCTGCCCGAAGATCTGCCTGGAGAGTTCCAAACGGAGCTAGCTGCCCGCGTCAGCTCACTTGGCCAGACTGCGTGGTGATGTCATAGCCCACACTTCTGCACAATCGCTTCGCTGGATAAAGAAAACCCAGTAGCCTCTCTATTCCAGCTCATCCCTCGTCCCACGCTCACAGGAAGCAGACTGTTAACTAGCACACAGAAAGGAAAAGAAGACACACATTTAACTTTGGTTCCGGTCACAGTTCTTAGGAGGCTGCTCTATTCCACTCGTTTTGGATATCACCAAAACCTATAGCAATAGTAGCCTCCCAGGGAAACAGACTGTCGCGTCCCTGTTAACACCCACACCCAAATACAGGCACAAGCTCTCAACATGGTGTCCCACAAGCATTCTCCCTCCTGGATCTACGTGTGGGGTCATACACCAGTGAACTCTAGCATGTGTGAACTTGAACACACAACACATAAAATACATCAAGCTTCCTCCACATCGGGCCTCTCCCCAAGAAATGTTAAAGTTCATGGCTGTTCTCGGCTGCCCCTGCCCACTACCAGCCCCTGCAGGGTGAGACGCTGACATCAAGGCAATGCTTTGTAGAGGGGCTCACTGGAACGGCCCCTGCACTACTTACTTGGTCCCAGAGCAGGAAATGAGCCCAGCCTAGAGGTGGCAGCTGATCTTACCAGAGGTACTACCTCTCTAGTGTCTGCCAGGGTGGCATCCCTGCCCTAAGCTTTTGAGTGTCAGTAGGAGGCAGGGGACCAGCTCTAAGGCGACATTCTGTAAAGTGATTTCAGAGCAGCTCAACTTACTGGGGCTTCCTTCTTTCATTCTTCCTCCATCAGCTACCCTGAAAAATATGTATTTAAACACTGTGTGTGTGTGTGGGGGGGGAAGATGCCAAAGTCCTCTGTATCCATCTGTATAAGCCACTCCTGGCTGTTTCCCTCTTCAGAACATGAGAACAGAATTTATAGACACTGAGTGGTAGAAACGGGGCGGTCTCCTCAGGCTCTGAGGAACAATCTTCTTAGGGGCCATCTTCCGGCTGCTTCTTACAATGCACCCTTCCCCAGCAGGCAAGGAGTTTTACCCTGGAACCTGGAACTATTAAGTGTCCCTTATTGCTGCCCTGATAGTGTCCCTAAGCAGGTACTATATCTATTGGACCCTGTAGTGAGAACATAGGTGGGGACATCAGGATCATGTCCCTAGGGGCAGTTGACAAGACCTGAAAAGTAAACAGGATTAAAACTGAACCCCAAAGCCTCCAGAGGGGATGATAAGGCACTTTCTGCACCTCCAGCAAGTCTTCCCCACATGCACCTGTGGCTTTCTAGAGTGCTTGGGTCAGACTCTTCCCAAGGGCATCTTAAGGAAATGGTATCCATGTCTGGGGAGCAGGTGATGGTTCAGGTACCCACGGCCAGGAAGGGGTAGCCAGAGCTGGGAAGATGAGGGAGAAAATGCAGAGAAAAGCAGAGGTTGAGTGACCATGGCAGAGCAAAGAAGGAGGAATCAGTGAGCCTCCAGGAGCCCACCTGCGCTGTGGCTCTCAGAATAACTGCAGAACTCTGGAAGACACCAACACTTCTGTTGAAAGACCTATGAGGAAAGACCAAATTGGAGCTGTCCTCATGCCATCCTTGTGACCTCAGCTTTCTGGGGGGGGGGGGAGGTGACTGAGACCTCACATGTGTACTGAAAGGTGCGAGAAGGGTAACTGTGTGCGAGAGGGTGGCATGGCCAGGCACGCCTGCTGTAAATTGAGAGAGCGACTCCACAGGGAGGAGGACCTGCTGAAGAGCTCCTAAGTGACCAGAGCCTTTGGAGAACTAGGAGAGCCTGAAATGGGTGAGCCTCCATCAAGGAGCAATGAGCCGGGATGGCCCAACTCAGCCTTTCCTTTTCCGGCTGTCTGCTGTAAGTTAGCCAGCCCTCTCTGCTGGGCCTGCTCCTGGCCACCTCCCCGCGTTGGGGGGGGGGGGAAGTAGGAAAGTGTTCAGAGGTGGGAGTTTCCAGCCAGGCAGCGATCCCAGCCTGGTGCACCCTAGTGCCAAGGCTAAGGCCACTTTATGCTGCCCCGAAAATTCCCATAAGTACCGTGAGACTGGAATTGGGAGGAGGGTGGAGGGCAAATCTGGGGTGCCTCCAGTGGAGTCAGCAGCAAAACAGCTTCCCTGTCTGCTTAGGTAGTTGGGTGGTGAGCAAAGGCCACCCAACACAAGGAAGACATTCGGGAAGAGACCTTCTCTAGATGCTTCTAACCGTTGCTGCCTTCTGGGCTAAGATGAGGTATAGTACAGACCCATGGTACCCAGGGCGCCTGAGTTCCGAGGACCACATCGAAGGCAGAGGCAGTCTGACACGTGGCTCGACCCTCATATGTCTACTCCTGTCCTGAGTTGGCCCAAAATAAAAGGAACCTGTAGGACGTGAGCAGCCGGAGAAGCTCCAGGCCCTCCACCTTCTGAGCCCACCGGAGCACAGAGGCCTAGCCATTTTAGACCGGCAGAAGAAAGCCGCCCATAAGCTGACCGTCGGGGGAGAAGGGGGGCAGCTGGGCGCAGAGGAGTTTGCCTCCGCCTTCCCAAGGTATTAGGTTCCTAGAGTCCAGTGCCTGGGATTCGGATGTTGTGTCTCCGGGATGGGATCTTCTTCGGACCGCGCGGCGCCCACGCAGGGAGTCGGCCTTGACCGCCTGAGGGGCCTGTAACTGGAGTGGCGGTTCGTCTGGCGAAACAGCGAGCGGCCACGGCCACGCAAGGTTCTTTCTCTGCAGTAGCACGGCCCTTTATTCCTGTTCACCTGGGCTGGAACCCGGGGCAGAGGTGACTACCCAGGCTCAGGAGTCGGCAGAGTCAGCGAGTGACCTGGGGAGCCGCTGCTCCCCGGCAGTGCTCTCTGCTCCGTTCAAGCACCGTGAGTCGGAGAAACTGAAGCCCCAGGTTAGGGAATTTCTCAGCGTGGGACAGGTTCCCGGCGTGGATAAGACCTTTGAAACGGCAGCTCGCGGCCTGCCCGGGTGATGGGCGGCCTCCGTGGGAGCACAGTGCTGGGTCAGAGGAGCCAGCCTTTGTGGCCCCGCGGCTCTGAGAGGCAGGGCTGGCGCTTGGCTCCGTCACTGGGGGACTTAGGGCCCGCGGCAGCCCGAGGTGCGGCTGCTTAAAGCCACGGGAAAGAACTTACTTAGCTCGGTAACAGTCTGATAACTGCCAGTCTCTCCCGAAGCCCTCTAGCATGCCGAGGTACACAGGAGATTTTTCTCCACTGCTGGTTATGAGAATGCAAAAATTAAACCCTGAGACCCCAGCTGAGCCTGCAGACCCCTCCCGCTCCCTTTGCGATGGCCCCCACCTCACTCTGGGGGGTTATGCAGGGGGAAGGCAGGATGAGGCTCGATGGAGCACCCTGAGGGCCCTGATAGGAGTTCTTTGTAGGAGTCTCCTCTTTGCTACTCTGGCCTGGTCAGAGACGTGGCCCTCCTCCAGCAGGCAGTACATTAAAGCTGTCATTCCATTCACACTGTTTTCCGCTGGGAAGTGAAGGCGGCCAGAAGACGGCTGGCCCATCCCAGCGAGCGATTTCCCGGCACCGGCCCCTCTGAACGCAGTCGCCCATTCCCTTCTCAGCCAGCAGGGGCGCGTTAGTGGATCACGCTCGCCAGCCGGATTCT